GCGTGACCAGGCCCACTACGCGCGCACTCTCTTCCTCGTGCATGCATGTGCTCTCTGTACTCGGAACCAAACAGAAGGGCTGGCAGCTGGCTGCTGGTTGAAGTGCTGGACTCCCACATGGCCAACTGTGGCTCAAGTCCTGGACCTGGTGACTTGCTTTCATGCTTTCCCTTTCTCTCTCTGGTCAAATTAAAAATAATAATAATAGTAACCAATGGACTTAAATAAATAAATAATTCTAAAATAAAACCCAAACAATAAAATAAAACATCTTTTTTCCCTCACCATTTAAAATTTGATGATGTCTTATTTGCATTCAGTTGTTCACATCTCTGTAGTGCACATAGTTTTTCTATTCCTTCTCTTCTTTTTTTTTGGAGAGGTTTTTGCTATAGGGCGCGCGTGCTCACCAGACAGAGAAAGACTGAGAGATAGAAAGCGAGAAATCACCCCCCAGGGGGGATGGGCATGCTGCAGTCCCTTCTACAATGTGCTCCTCTCGGGACCTTGGGCACGCACGCACACGCGCCCGGCGTGAGTTTAAGCCACCAGGTCCGGGATGCGAACCGTGGTCGACTACGTGGGAGTCCAGCGACATAGCCATTACGCTAACTGCTGGTCCCTAAAGAGTCTATTCCTTCTCTCTCTCTCTTTTTTCTTTTGGAGAGCACATAGTTTTTCCAGGTATGCATGCAGTACACAACTGTCCAGGACTTACCCTGTACATTGTTTTCTTTTTTTAAGAACCATTTATTTAATTTTATTTATTATTATTATTAATTTGACCAGCGAGACAGGAGGAGAGAAAGGAAATGTGAGAAGGTAAACCAGCTGGCCCAGGACTCAAACCATGGTAGCCCATGTGGAAGTCCAGCTCTGTAACCACCATGCCACCTACAGGACCCTATATCTTTTTTTTTTCTACATAATTTTCTTTTCTTTCTTTTTTTGGAGAAGTTTTCTGCTATAGGGCATATGCGCTCACCAGAAAGACAGAGAGAGACAGAGAAACAGAAAATCACCACCCCAGGGCGGATGGCCTCGCCGCAGTCCCTTCTCCTCCATTCTCCTCTCGGGATCTTGGGCACGCATGCACACGTGCCCGGCGTGAGTTTAAGCCACCGGGTCCAGGACTCAAACTGCAGTCAACTACGTGGGAGTCCAACGACGTCGCCATTACGCTAACTGCTGGTCCCTCTACATAATTTTCAAGAGGGAACTTTACATGGTTTTTAGTGTTTCTTCCTCTTGCCCCTCCACCCACCCTCTGTAACCCTCTCCTCTCTGGCAGTCCAGTGTCACCCCACCCTCTGTAACCCTCTCCTCTCTGGCAGTCTGGTGTCACCCCCACCTCTGTAACCCTCTCCTCTCTGGCAGTCCGGTGTCACCCCCCCTCTCTAGCTTCACGTCTTTAGGTCTTTCCATCTCTCCCATTGAGCGCAGGCATTTCGTATGTACACTGAACAAAGCACGTTTCAACTGAGAGTAACCGGAAGGCAGATTTTAACTTTCTTTCTTCCTTATCCCACCTCTCTTCCCCTTCCTTCCTTCCTCCCTTCCTTCCTTCTTTTCATTCTTTCTTTCACTATT